GTGGCCCGGTGTGTAGGGGGTGCTGCGGCGGCTTCTCTGTGCCACCCGTGTCATGAGTTGCATGGGGCTCAGGTGTGCCCCCCTCCTCTCCCACTCTGGACTTCCAGGTCCCATTTGGGTCCTGTGCAGGGGCTCCAGGCACTGACCCCCATGGGGGCTCCATGCACCCACCCCATGGGGGCTCCATGCACCCGCCCCATGGAGGCTCCATGCACCCATCCCATAGGGGCCACATGCACCCGCCCCATGGGGGCTCCATGCACACCCCACAATGCATGGGCTTCATACACTGCCCTCCCACTGGGGCTCCATGCACCTCCTGCAATGCAGGGGGGTCCATGCTCCCAACCTATAGGGGTTTCATGCACTGCTCCCCCATAGAGACTCCATGCACCCCCACAATGCAGGGGGCACCTTGCACCAACCCCCATGGGGGCTCCATACACCCATCCCATAGGGGTTCCATGCACCCATCCCCATGGGGGCTCCATGCACGCCCCACAATGCATGGGCTCCATGCACCCATCCTATGGGGGCTCCATGCCCCGCGCCCCCATAGGGGCACCATGCACCCCTGCAATGCAGGGGGGTCCATGCACAGCTCCCCCTCCCCGCTCCGGCGCGCGCCCGCGGCACCACGTGACCGCCTCGCGCAGCGGGCGCGCGCTCAGACGGGGCGGGGGAGGGAACGGCTCCCGCGCATGCGCGCCGGCCAGAGGGGGCGGGGCCCGGCGCCGGGCCGCCATTGGCCGCGCCCAGCGCAGCCCCGTGTGGGGTGGGGGTCGCGTGCGCCCGGCAAAGCGTTCCGGGCGGAAACGCGGGCGGCGTTCCGGGCCGGGCGGGCGGCGGGCGCGGCGCGGCGCACCGCGCGCTCCCCTCCCCCGCACCGGGAGCGCGGCCTCGGCGCGGAGCGGCCCGGGCGGCGGCGGCGAGCGATGGAGCCGCCCCGAGGTAACGCGAGCCCTCCCGCGCGGCGCCGCGGTCCGCCCCGGGCAGCGAGCGGGGACAGGGCCCGGGGGGCTCCCGGCCCCGCTCGGCTCCCCCTTCTCCCCGTCCCGGTCCTCCCGTTCGCCCCGCGCAGCCGGTGTCGCCGCGCGGGTCCCTGCGCCCTCCGCCCCGCGAGCTGCCGCCCCGGAGCCCCCAACGGCCGCCTTAAACCCCGGGGCTGTCCCGGGGCCGAGCGGAGCAGCTCGGGCTTGGGCAGCTCCCGGGAGGGAACGGGAGCCCCCGGTCCCTCCCCGCCTGGAAAGCGCCGGGGCGCCGGGAGCGGCGGCCG